CACAGTCCGATTGGCTCGCAGCCGTCCGAATGGTGGTCGCGCCGCTGCCGCGCGGTGCGTGTGGCCTGTGGCTGCTTTAGACTGAGAAGATGATGAGGGGGAAGAGAGATGCGGTGCGGTCCTCATCCATCTCGGTTGGTGGTTACACCAGTCACGCCATCCCCTCAGATCGCCTGCTGCAAAGACCGTCACCGTCAGCAGCGGTCGGTGCCTTCCTTCTCCACCGACGCCATCACGCGCCTCCTCCCCCAAAAACACAACGGGGGAGCAGCAGCCACACGCAACTGCCACCACAGAGCGCAAGAGGAGCAACCAACTACACTGCAATACATATATCGTGTAAGTGTCTCGTCTGTGTGCCTACGACCACAAAAAAAAAAAAAAAAGCAAAGCATCTGAGGGGACACACAACCACACAATAGTGCCAGACAAAAAGAACAAACAGAATGACTGCTGAAACGCAACACCGCACGGCTGCCCACGCTGTGGAAAGCCGCGGCACACATGCTGAAAAGTAAAAAGACGAAGATGTATTCGTCTTCCATTATGCATTCACTCAAAAACAAGAAAAAACTGCACGCTGCTGCGTGACCTCCAAATCGGTGTGTGTGTCTCGCCTGCAGATAAGAAATAAATAAATATGTTGCACTCCTTCCAGTCGTTTAAACACCAGGTGCCCACACATTATTTATATTCCACTGGGACACCCGGCGCGGTTTCGTGCCCCCATTCCATTCTCTCTTTTATTAGCCGGCGCCATCGGCGTGGCACACAATGCCGGGAGCGTCTCTGGTCAATCAAAAAAAAAAAACACTCAGTAGATCCCGTAATTTTCGGAGGACCACAACACGGGGTGGAAAGAAGAAAACGAACAACAACCCCGCGGTGCTGGTGCTGGGGAGAGCATGCTTCCACATGGAGGAAAAGCCCTGCGCAGCAAAAAGAATCTAAAGTAAAATAAAATGGTCAAAACAAAGTGTTCACAAAAAGTGGCAATTACTTTGAAAGAGCGCGTGGAAAGACGCATATGTTCCCGCTGGAAGCAGGAATTCCTCACTGCGATTCCTCAGTAAAGGGCCACAAAGGCGCAAAACCCAAGCCCCAGCAGCAGCAGCATCTGCGACACGCCCCCACGCTTGGAGCCGTCACCGTTTCCTTTTTTGCCGTCACTTTTCCCTTTTTTACCGTCACTTTTCCTGAGCATTTTTAGTTCACCGACACTCAGTGGGCGGTCGTACAGAAAGACGTTCGTCACCGCCACGCTGCTGTTGATGTCCCCCTCGTCGCCCCCAAAGTAGAAATGTGTGATTTCATGTCCCGGCGTCTCAAGTGTTGGTATCGTCTCCGGGTTCCACACAATCACACCATCCACGTACACGGAGCCATTGTTGCCGTCCTAAAGCGTCAGCGCCACCTGGTATTTTCTCCCCGGCTCCCAAGTGGTGTCCTTTGCTGTCTTTGTGCCGTCAAACACTGTCTCCCACCTTTATTCATGCTGTACGGCAGCCCAATGATCTTCTTGCCAGCACCGTCCCCGAGACCCGCACCCAGAAGAAAAGTACTCTTCTTCGGAACCTCGTGGAAGATCACCGTCGCCACAATAGTGAAATCGTAGTTCACAAAGCCGTACTGGTTATTATCCTCCCGGCCGTTCACGGGCCATGTTGTCCCGGACTCCGGCCCCGTGAAATTAAACCCATTTTTGGCCTTCGCTGCTTTTGTCGCAATTGCATTCACGCAACGGTACTCGTCGATCCACGTGACATCGCGGGACGATGCGTCGGACAGGAATCCAACCAGACCAGCCGTGGGTCTGGAAGACTCGGAGAAAGAGGCATCCAGCTGCGCCCAAGTGCTGAGGACGGAGTTGATCGTCTTCAGCTCCTCCGTCAGGCGGGCAAGGGATATGCCCCGGCGCGTCCCCACAATACTCTCTCGTGAAAGGTGCAACGCACCATCCGAGTACAGCAGGGCGTTGGCAAGCGTCTCACCCATAGCATTCTCCGCAAAAAGCGGCCCAACATGGAACGTGCGGCTATTGTCCGTGACCCAAAGGCAGAGCGCATTGTCACTTTTCTTCCCCGAGGAGTTCCCTCCCTGAATGTACAGCATGACCTTCCTTCCCCCAATGGTCGCAGCGATGAGGGCTCCCACACGCAAACTTTCGTCCCAACGGAATCCTGAGTGTGAAATGACCCACATGCCTGAGAGTGTTCTGGCAGCATTCTTCCACCTTTACCCCATGTCACGCGACTCGAACACACTCTGGCCTTCAAAACATTCAGCAATCATGAGAATCTGTCCATTCTCCCATTCGGTGATGCGGGGGCCAAGGCATTCCACAGAAAAAATGCCCTCTGGGAACACCCAGTTGTTCTCCTTGTCCGTCGAATAATTGATCATGGAGAAAGGTTGATTTTTCCCGTTACTCGCACTCAGGGAAAACACAAGCGTGTCATTCTGCATCACAATGCCTGAGCCACCAGCAGTCACAAAATCCTTCATGTGGCCTTAAGTGTGTTTGGAGATCTGTTGCAAGAAATATTTGGATTCTTCCCAGTTGATCATTCCACTCGGCTCGCCGTCCTTGGGCTGCGTGGCCACACCAACAACCAGTTGAATAGCTGAGTCACCCGCCGCCCTTTCCTCATCATCATTGTCGTACTTCTCTTCGCAGATTCCCGCAAGTGGAAACACCTTATTGTCCCCTGCAATGGATGCGGGCCGACAAAAAAACGCGCAAACGATCATCGCCATTCCTACTGCCAAGCACGGTGTGTGCCCTCCACTCCTTCTTGGCGATCTCAGCGACAATGGACGGCCACGTCTCCGCAGCCTTGATGTACCCAGCCACAATGTCGGAATAACAAGTCCCAAATAATTTCTCGTGATGGCCGTTATATTCGAGGAAGCCCTCAGCAAATGCAATCATTACCCCACCAACACGGACGAGAGAGGGTGCGGCAAATGCTTCCTTCACTCCAGTCTCACCAGTCCCATCTTTTGGCAACACCTGCGTCTTATTCGGCACAAAAATAACGACCCATTGCGGCAGCTGCACACCCCCTGGCTTGCTCTCCACAGCGTGTGCACCTCCACTGCCGCAGCACATCATAATCAAGAAAAGAAGGAGCAGCACCGCAAAAGTAAACACATGCCGGGATATGTTGGGCCTCTGCGGCTCACTCTCCCTTCCTTCCCTCCTCCTTCAGCTGGATCCGGTCACGCCGCGACGGTTGTGTGTGCGGGGTGCCTTCACTGCAGCAACACGTGAGAGCATATAAGTATGTGTGTGAGGGCGGTGTGTGTGCTGTTGCTGGTCCTTTCAGTGCCTTCGAATTTCACAGTAGCGATTAGCGCCTGATTTCCTAGCGTGTGTGTTTTCAATAAGTGAAAAGGACAACGACAGCGGCAAAAAGACAGTACAACAGCAGTACACACCGCCACCACTCACAGCGAACCACAACATGACCATCCCCGCAGCCATTATTCTCCAGCACCCCTCAAAAGCATAAAAAAATAATTTCAAAATGTGAGCAGCCTCCTAATGGGGGACCGAAGGCCACGGTCCTGCAAACAAGACAAATGAGAGAGGGCCACGTGTGAAGTGAAGGACACAAGAGTGGCACTGCAACGACACGGCTGCGTGACAACCCGTTGGGTGTATCGATGCAGAAAAGCACACCACTTGCAGGAATAGTTGCCCCTCCTGCTGAACAGAGAGGAAAACCGGCCTCAGCAACCCAATGATGAGAGGTCGCCTGCACCTCCTCGCGGCACCTGCAAGCTCTGCAGACAAAAAGATGCAGGTGACGCTCTGCTCCACGCATGACGACCGTTGCACCGGTCGCAATGGCAACCGCATCCTGTGGCACCACACGCCGCAGTGGACGCGTAC